AATCACTAGTCTTTCACACTGGGCAGTTGCGTCACATTTCTTGCATCTAAGTGTGCAGTGACTTTCAGCTCACGTCTTCCCTCTCTCACGCTCACACACACACACACTAACAGGGGTGAGACATTTTATTCAACATGGAACAGAAGGATAAACCCAATAACAGCCTTTCCGGGTGGGGGGGGGGATTCCCTCACACCCGACGGTGACCCCCCCCCCCTCACCCCAGCATTCAGCTGGGCACTTCATGCTGACTCAGCCCTTTAGGGTATGTGTGGGGCCATGAAGCTGACATGACACCGGCGGTACCAGGGGGTGGGGGCTGAATTCCTGCCTCCCACTGTCTGAAACATGCATATGACCATGCATACTCACAAATACACCACACACACCATATATACACCAGCCCCTGTAAGGATACATGTTAATACTTCTGTAATAAGGGGATTCAAACCTGCACGCAGGTGCACGCCTGCAACTACGGAAAGATGGACAGGTGTTTGCTGGCTTTGTTCCCCATTCTCACACCTCTCTATCCAGTGTATATCTATGTTATTGAATACATACTTTTATTGTACATTTAAAATAGTAGTTCTATGAAATATTTTTCATAGAAACCAATAGTATTCCGTCCCGGTTGTAAACAACGCGGTGGTGACATTATACAGAAACCCGGAAGTCACAGCTAAAGTAAAGCATTCAGTAAGCGGCGTCTCGGGGGAAAGATGAGGGGTCATATCGTTACTTGGTTCACATTAAAACATTGACAAATCGCTCACAGGTAAATAAATAAATAAATTTGCATTATTTATTTTGTTGAGAAATAAATTAGGTTCTTTCCAGTTATTAAGCACACTTTCAATATTTGTCAGGCTTCTATTTTTAGAGCCATTTTGCGAAATAGACTAGATTTAGATTTTAGTTGTTTGTTCATCAACAATGACCTGTTTTAAGAGCAGTGTCATAAACTGATTTTAAAAATGCTGTTGGCAGACAGAGTGGAGCGAAAGGGCTTCATGTGGAAGCTGCTTTACTGGATACAGGTATGGGAATAATATTGTTTTCTCTTTATTTTGAGACTTTGCAATAATGACAATGTCTGTACTGAATAGGGACCATTGTAAATTTGCAAACAGGAAAGGAAATGCTGTATTTGCATTTTGTATAGAACACACTGTTTTAATGAAAGTGTTTGTAACGTCTTACATGTATATATTGCGTATTGCCATTCTGTCAAAAAATTTTGGGATATGGTTTTTGATTCATATCACCTAGCTAAACTTTCCCCCCCATGACAAACTTGGGCCGGTCCGTCAGGTTTGTTCTGGCGCCAGCACTGGTCCATTGGCGTGATCATTTGCTTTCAGGCTGATTCACTGGATGGCAGGAGGGGAGCACATTATTATGAAGCGGTTTTGCAAACAGCTCGGCCAGTGAGGAGTGGACCATTCAGGGGGGACATCAGGGTCTGGGGCTTCTGCAGTCTCCCAGCATCCTCTGGCACCAACCTTCCAATGCAGCAGCCAAGCAAGGATTTAAAGGTCAAGTCCCCAAAAAAGCCAACCCCCCCCCCTCACAAGAGGCTTTTAATTGACATTTTTGTCATTGTCCACAGGGATAATAGGGGAGGAGAAGAAGGGGCGCTCTTTTCAGAACTCTAAAATGTTGATAAATGAGGGACAGAGGCAAAATGTGACCACGGAGTGAGACCAGCCCCCCCCCCCCCCCAAACACTTCAGGGGGGCACCTTGGTGGGGCTCTCACAGGGCCCCTGAGAGCCGTGGGTCCTGCACGGACAGCGCTACTCAGATGCAAATCCCCACACAGAGGAGTTCCCTCCCCAGCGAGAGAGATAAACCTGTTAGCTCTTTGTTTATCGAGTTTCACTTTATTCTCCTTGACAACCATTTAAACAATGCCTGTTGGGAAATGTCCCTCTGAGAATGAGCCACAATGGTCAATATCAGTGGCCTTTCTGTCAAGCTAATACTTTCATAAAAAGGTGGTGGGTGGGGGGGGGATCTTCCTTCCTGAAAGAATTAAAGAACAACTCCCACAAAAGGCACCTGGCAAACACGGTCAGAATGGGCGCTGGACAAAAGCACTTTGTCCCAATGATGCCACCTTTGTACCCTGCACAATGAACCCCTCATTTTCCACTGGTGGGACAGACCACTGCGTATAAACAAGCTCCATCATGCGCAGAGCCCACCCCCCCCTCCCCCGTCATGAGCACCTCCACTCTGACTGACGGGCCCCAGGACGCGGCCCCGAGTCGCAGCTCTGCCCGACGCCCAGCCCTCAGTGGCCTGTGGAAAAAGCTTGGGGCAAAACTCCGCCTCTGAAGGGGTGGAGACACGTATGACTGACATAAACGGGCACTGGGGGACCATGTCATCGACGTTGGGGGGCTGACAGGAGGAGACATTCATCACAGGAGGGGTTTGACCATAGAGAAGACGAGAGATACATGTGTGTGTATATGACCGGGAGGGAGGCCTGAAACAGTGAGAGAGTCTTCTGGAATTCTATTTCAGAAACTTTCCCAAATGTCAGTCACCTCTCTGCTCTACCTGCTGCACTATAAGAAACCAAACTGTGGAGGAACTAAATATCTTTTGTCACTGTGATCCTTTGTGGCCCCGTCACTGAAGCCGGGCTTTGTTCTCCCGGAGACTGGTATGTGCCACAAACGTCACTTCAGAATAGCCGAAGGGGGGGGCTCAGGTCTTTTTTTCAGTTCATCTCTGGCTCCCCCCACACCCAAGCCTGAATGCTCCCTCCATCTTGGTGCGGAGACATACAGGCTGCCTCCTTCAGCTTCCTGGTGGCTGGACGAGTAGGCATCTCCAGACCCTTCCTGAACAGGGGCGGGGCACAGCGACCTCCACGCCCCCCACTCTCTCTCTGTTACCCCGCTCGCTTTCCCAGCCCCTCACCCCCCAGCAGATTAACTCCCTCACCTTGTCACCCCACCTTCCTAAAAATACCTCCTCCCTGACCCGCTACCCTCTGTCCATGGCTCTCTCTCTTCCACTCTCTCCCTTTTTCTCTCTATCCCTCTCTCCTTCTCTCTCTCTCCTTCTCCCTCTCCCTCCCCCCGAGTAGGCTGTGCATGTGCTTTGATGCTGGGTGACACGCCACACCCTCCACCAGGCTGCAAAGGCGGTGGTGACTTGGGGGGGGGGGTGCGATGTGCAAGAAGAAGGCCAGCGGGTAATCCTGGAGTAATTGTTTCCAGATTACAGGAGCCAGCCCAGAGTGCAGGCCCAGCCAGGCATGAAATGGCCTTCTCACGCACCGCCGGCCTCCTCACCTGCAGGGGAGTCTGCCGTTGCCCCGTGCCGATGCCCCACGCCGTTGCCCCGTGCCGTTGCCCCGTGCCGTTGCCCCACGCCGTTGCCCCACACCGTCTCCAGGCCAGGTGACCCGCACCAACGCAGAGGCCCGGTATGCAACAGGAGCACAGACAGCCATGCCTGAAAGGGTTTGACTGCCGGCCCCACAGAATATATACACTTATCCTACAGAAAAACGGCTTTGATGTGCGTTTAAAGCCAGAAGTGAAGTGTGTCATTTTCAACCATGCGTTATTTGACATTCACACCTACTGAATTCTGCTACTGAACTTTAAAAAAAAAAATAAACCTCTCCTGAAATTAAAGGTAGCCAGGCATCTCACCGCAGAATCAGGTGCGTAAACACTAGAGAGGAACCAAAATTTAAAAAAAAAAACAGCCATCAATGTTCCAGCTTAAATCCAAAACAGTCCCCGCCTGGCATCTGCAAACACAAAGCCGCATATTAGCTTTGAACGTTCTAATCCACGTGCTAATTTGCCCGTCCACGGAGCCAAAAGGTATTCAAGTGTGCAAATTTCACAACGTGGAAGATTTCTGCCCATAATAGTCATTCAACGGCAACTGAAATTAATCACAGTTACCTAAGTGGCCGTCATATGCATAGTGTGTGTACACTCAGGACAATATCAGACGGACAAACGGAGCTCTATCTAAGCCAAACAATGGCTGATTATGTGGCCTTCATCGCACAAAGCTCGACCCTGCCCCCAAACTGGATACGTTGGGGACCCTTTTGTCTGGGAACAAAGACAGATTTAAACCGCACTACCTGCCATTCTGTCCTGACTGGCAGTGTCAATGACGTTAATTGAGTTGCCTACAATCTTCTCAGGTGTTCATTATCCACTCTGGGCTCTGCAGGTGTTCCATCAGCTCTTTATTGTGGTGTCTTTAGAAACTTTTTTTCCCCTCTTTCTTTCCTGGGCCTGGTCCCAGGGCACATGCGATTACAGCGCAGCTGCTCCGAGACAGAATCTACAGCGGGCCCCAGGGCGAGAGCATGAGAAACCCGCCGCTATCTCCACACCTTCAGGAAATGGTGACACCTCCCCCCCAACAGAGGGAAGTTCTCCTCCCGCATGCCCAGGAGAATAGGCACCAGGGCCACACTGCAGATCACAAGGCCTCCAGGTCTGTGCCACGCAGGCAGGGGGGTTAAGAGCAGGCCTGACTCTGTATCTCGGTCGGCTAAGTGCAGGCCTGACTCTGTATCTCGGTCGGCTAAGAGCAGGCCTGACTCTGTATCTCGGTCGGCTAAGAGCAGGCCTGACTCTGTATCTCGGTCGGCTAAGAGCAGGCCTGACTCTGTATCTCGGTCGGCTAAGAGCAGGCCCGTGACTCTGTATAACAGTTGGCGAAGAGCAGGCCCGTGACTCTGTATAACAGTTGGCGAAGAGCAGGCCCGTGACTCTGTATAACAGTTGGCGAAGAGCAGGCCTGTGACTCTGTACCTCAGCCTCAGTTTAGTGTAGGTATGACCCTCAGCACAGACACACACAGGATACATCTTTTTTAAACCTTAACTTTACTGTACTCTACTGTAAATTTTAGTTATGATTTATGAATTAATATTAATAATTACAACATAAATAAATCAGCAGGCAAGAATACTATCTACCCACTAAATAGCAATCTCATTACCTGAAGCTTTGTTCGGGCGTTAGCATGGTCCCAGCTGAAAAACATCATTATTCCATCACAGACCACCCAGGTAGTCAATTGGAGCCAACTTGCAGGATATAAAATAAAAAGAAAAAAAAAAAGAAAAATCAGCACTGGTATCAGCAGGTTACAGCACTGGTATCAGCAGGTTACAGCACTGGTACCAGCAGGTTACAGCACTGGTATCAGCAGGTTACAGCACTGGTATCAGCAGGTTACAG